AACATCACGCTTGCTCAAAAGGGCACTGCCAAAGTTAACTATCAGCTCGAGGAATCTCTGAACCTAGGTGTCTAAGTTTCTTTCACTCAATAAATATTTACTGAACACCTACTGTATGTCAGGGGGCCTTCCCAGGTCTAGCAGTGGTAAAAAAAATCCACCTACCAGGAGACATAAGACACGGGGTTCAATCCCTGGGTCAGGAAGATCCTCTGGAGAAGGAAATGGAAACCCAGTCCAGTATTCTTGCCTAGGAAATACCATGGACAGAGGAGGCCAATGGTATAGTCTAGTGAGTGGCAAAGAAACAGACATGACTGAGCAACCATGCCAACAAAAATGTGTCAGGGATGATATAGGTATTTGAGATACTTTAGTGGACAAAACCAGTTTGAATAAATGTAAGGTTATAGAGCTTACCTTCTGGTAGAAGTAGAAAATAATATGCATCATATGTAAACAAAGTCTGTGATACATTGTTGTTCAGTCTCTTAAGTGGTGTCTGACTCTCTTGATCCCACGAACTGCAGCACACCAGGCTTCTTTGTCCTTCACATCTCCCTGATTTTGCTGAAACTCATATCCATTGAGTCAGTAATACCATCCAACCATCTCATCCTCTGTTGCCCCCTTCTCCTTTTGCCCTCAATCTTTCCCAGCATCAGGGTCTTTTCCAATGAGTTGGCTGTTCTTATCAGGTGACCAAAGTATTGGAGCTTCAGCACCAATCCTTCCAATGAATATTCGGGGTTGCTCCTTTAGGATCGACTGGTTAGATCACTTTGCTGTCCAAGGGACTCTCAAGAGTCTTCTCCAGCACCACAGTTTGAAAGCATCAGTTCTTCGGCAGTCAGCCTTCTTTATGGTCTAGCTCTCACATACGTACATGACTGTTGGAAAAACCATAGCTTTGACTGTACGGACCTTTGTTGGCAAAGTGATGTGTCTGCTTTTTAATACACTGTCTAGGTTTGTCATAACTATTCTTACAAGGAGCATGTGTTTTAATTTTCTGTCTGCAGTCACTGTCTGCAATGATTTTGAAGCCCAAGAAAATAAAATCTGTCACTGTTTCCACTTTTTTCCATCTCTCTTTGCCATGAAGTGATGGGACTAGATGCCATAATCTTAGTTTTTTGAATGTTGTGTTTTAAGCCAACTTTTTCATTCTCCTCTTTCACCATCATCAAAAATCTCTAAAGAAAAAGGCTCTTTAGTTCCTCTTCGCTTTATGCCATTAGTGTGCTATCATCTGCATATCTGAGGTGGTTGATATTTCTCCCTGCAATCTTGATTCCAGCTTGTGCTTTATCCAACCTGGCATTTCATATGGTTTACTCTGCATATAAGTTAAATAAGCAGGGTGACAATATACAGCCCTGAGGTACTCCTTTCCCAATTTGAACCACTCTGTTGTTCCATGTCCAGTTCTAACTTGCTTCTTGACCTGCATACAGGTTTCTGAGGAGGCAGGTAAGGTGGTCTGGTATTCCCATCTCTTTAAGAATTTTCCACAGTTTGTTGTGATCTACACAGTCAAAGGCTTTAGTGTAGTCAATGAAGCAGCATTAGATGTTTTGTTGGAATTCCCTTTTTTTGTGATCCAACGGATGTTGGCAGTTTGGTTTCTGGTTCTTCTCTTTTCTAAATTCAGCTTGAACATCTGGAAGTTCTCAATTCACTTATCGTTGAAGCCCAGCATGAAAGATTTTGAGCATTACCTTGCTAGCATGTGAAATAAGTGCAATTGTGTAATAGTTTGAACATTCTTTGGCATTGCTCTTCTTTGGGTTTGGAATGAAAACTATTTCCAGTCCTGTGGCCACTTCTGAGTTTTCCAAATTTGTTAGCATATTGAGTACAGCATTTTCACAGCATCATCTCTTAGGATTAGAAATAGTTCAGCTAGAATTCCATCACCTCCACTAGCTTTGTTCGTAGTGATGCTTCCTAGGGCCCACTTGACTTCCCATTCCAGGATGTCTGGCTCTAGGTGAGTGATCACACCATTGTGGTTATCTGAATCATTAAGACCTTCTTCATACAGTTCTTTGTATTCTTGCCACCTCTTCTTAATATCTTCTGCTTCTGTTAGCTGTATACCATTTCTGTCCTTTGTAGTATCCATCTTTGCATGAAATGTTCCTTTGGGATCTCTAATTTTCTTGAAGACATCTCTAGTTTTTCCCATTCTGTTGTTTTCCTCTGTTTCTTTGCATTGTTCATTTAGGAAGACTTTCTTATCTCTCCTTGCTATTCTTTGGAACTCTGCATTCGGATGTGTATATCTTTCCTTTCCTCCTTTGCCTTTTGCTTCTCTTCTTTTCTTAGCTATTTGTAAGACTTCCTGAGGTAACCACTTTGCCTTCTTGCCATTTCTTTTTCTTGGGGATGGTTTTAATCACCACTCCTGTACAATGGTAAGAATTTCCATCTATAGTTCTTCAGGCACTCTGTCAGATTTAGTCTCTTGAATCTATTTGTCACCTCCACTGTATAATCATAAGGGATTTGATTTAGGTCATACCTGAATGGCCTAGTAGTTTTCCCTACTTTCTTCAAATTGAGCCTGAATTTTGCAATAAGGAGCTGATGATCTGAGTCATAGTCAGCTCGCAGTCTTTTTTTTTTTTGCTGACTGTATAGAGCTTCTCCATCTTCGGCTGCAAAGAATAGAATCAGTCTGACTTTGGTATTGACCATCAGGTTATGTCCTTGTGTAGAGCTTTCTCTTGTGTTGTTGGAAGAGGGTGTTTGCTATGATCAGTGCATTCTCTTAGCAGAACTGTTAGCCCTGCTTCATTTTGTACTCCAGAGCTAAACTTGTGTGTTACTCCAGATATCTCTTGACTTCGTACTTTTGCATTCCAGTCCCCTATGATAAAGGACATCTTTTTTGGTGTTAGGTCTAGGAGGTCTTGTAGGTCTTCATAAAATAGTTCAGCTTCGGCACTAGTGGTTGGGGCCTAGACTTGGATTATTGTGATATTGAAGGATTTATCTTGGAAATTAACCGAGATCATTCTGTTGTTTTTGAGACTGCACCCAAGTACTGCATTTTGGACTCTTTTGTTGCCTATGAGGGCTACTCCATTTCTTCTAAGGGATTCTCTTCCACAGTAGTAGATATAATGGTCATCTGAATTAAATTTGTCCATTTCGTCCATTTTAGTTCACTGATTCCTAAAATGTCGATATTCGCTTTTGCCATCTTCTGTTTGACCACATCCAATTTACCTCTATTCATGGATTGAACGTTCCAGGTTCCTATGTAATGTTTTTTACAGCATCAGACCTTACTTTCACCACCAGACACATTCACAACTGGGCATTGTTCGCCTTTGGCTCAGCCTCTTCATTCTCTCGGAGCGGTTTTCTCTGCTCTTCCCCGCTAGCATAATGGACACCTACTGACCTGGAGGGCTCGTCTTTCATTGTCATGTCTTTTTGCCTTTTCATAGTGTTCATGGGGTTCTCAAGGCAGGAATGGTAAGTGATTTGCCATTCCCTTTTCTGGTGGACCGCATTTTGTCAGGCCCTGACTTGCGGGAACATGCCCTTCAGCCACTTCATGTAGCTGGATGACATGCCCCAGGCCCTGGTGGTCCCCCTGCTGGTCCTCGTGGAGTGTGTAAACCTTCACTGGCCATTGAATGTTGGTCAGTGTGCCGTCCGGGGGCCAAGGCAAAGGCCCTGCTGCAGTCGCCAGCAAGGGGCTCTGGGAAAGGCTGGAACTGATGCTGGAGGACGCCCAGGAGTGGGGCACCCCTGCCTCACTGCTGCCATTGGCCACCCTGAGGCTGTTCTGTCACCCAGGAGCAGAGGGCACCCCGGCCTCTCCTCTGTGGTATAGTAGGAGATTATAGATTTGTTGGGTAAAACACTAGAGAGATGAAATGTGTGTGTGTTGGGGTGGGGGGGCGCTATAGAGACAGATGGTAATTTTAAATAGGATGAATCTAATTGAAAAGATAACACTTAAGCAAAACTTGAAGAAGAATGTGAGGGAATTACCCATGTGGATACAGGGACTGAGCCTTCCGGGAAGAGGGAGCCTGCTTGTGGTGAGGGAGGCCTGACCAGGAAGCTGGTGAGGAGCAAACAGTGGGGAGGGAAGTAAGAGATGGGTTAGCAAGGGAAGAAGGAAGGGCCAGATCGTGTAGGGCCCATAGACCCTACCTGGGCCTACACTGTGAGGGCCTGGGTTTCCATTTTGAGTGAAATTGGAGCTTTTTTTTTTTTTTTGCCTAAAGTACATTTTTAACTGAAGGATGAGACCATTTTTTAAACAGAAGAGTTTATCTCCAAACACTTCATCTACTTGAATTATTCACCTCTTACTCTGAAATGTATTTGTTGGGGCTTTATTATTTATAAAAATGCATATGATGCTTTTAAACCCAGTGACCCTGCATTTGTGATCAAGTCTACTCCTAAGGTAGTGATACATGTGCCTTCCCTTGTGGATGCAGGGTCCTTCTCCCACACCGCAGGACATCTCCATGAAGGAAGAGAACCTCTGCCAAGCTTTTTCTGATGCCTTGCTCTGCAAAATTGAGGATATTGATACTGAAGACTGGGAGAACCCTCAGCTCTGCAGCGACTATGTGAAGGATATCTACCAGTATCTAAAGGCAGCTTGAGGTGAGGGGGCCTTCGTGGTCTGGTTGCATAGCAGTGTGGAATGTACCACACAGCTGGGATGGAAATGAAATTTGCTTTTTTTTTAACTTAAAAATTTATTTTTTATTGAAGGCATAGTTGAATTACAATGTGTTAATTATTGCTGTATAGCAAAATGACTGAGTTATATATACATAGATGTTCTTTCTTGTCTTCTTTTCCATGATGGTTTATCACAGGATATTGACTATAGCTCCCTGTGCTTTACAGCAGGACCTTGTTCATCGAAGTCAGCTTTGTAAACTTCTCAATTCCACCACCAGGTGCTGCAGTCCATAAGCCCGCATTTCCTAGATGGGAGAGATATAAATGGCCGCATGCGTGCCATCCTGGTGGACTGGCTGGTGCAAGTGCACTCCAAGTTCAGGCTGCTGCAGGAAACACTGTACATGTGTGTTGCCATCATGGACCGATATTTACAGGTGAGCATGCTCTGGGGACTCTTCACAGAAGAAAAGACCAAAGGCCAGTTTATGAGATGCCAAAGAACTTCAAGTGCCAGGAAAGGTGGTAGTTTAAGCATGTCACACTTCCAGGATTGCTGACCATTGCTGTTAGGTCAGCCTGCTGAAAAGTGCCCAGAGGAGATGCTGTCTCACCACAATCATTCATCGAAGGAGATAAACCAGCAGATGGTCTGAAAGTCCATCTGAAGCCTGTGGTGCCTTTGGAGGCTGGTTCTCTAGGCCCACTTGCAAAATTTCCATAGTTCAGTACTCTTTGGTGTTAAGCTCTCTTATCTGAAAAATGAAGAGTTTGGCTAGAGAACTTAATAGTTTCCAGCCAGTTGTAGCATTGAATCACTGTAGAAGAGGGAGGAGACAGAGTTTTCTTAAAAGGGTTGGAGGTATGTGTGGGGAGTATACTCAGAGTGTGAGGTCTAAAGCATAGAGGAAGGTAAGAAATGAAGCTGAGAGGCAGAAGTAATCATCAAAATATCAAACAGTAATGCAAGAACACTGACTGAGAAGAAATGCCAGACCTTAACTTCTAGTGTGTTATCTACCAACTGGTAGTCCTGCAGGTATGGATTTATTGATTTATTTTTAATTAATTTATTTGACTGCACCAGATCTTAGTTGCAGCATGTGGGGTCTAGTTCCCCAACCAAGGATTGAACCCAGGCCCTCAGCATTGAGAGTTTGGAGTCTTAGCCACTGGACCACCAGGGAAGTCCCAAGGTTTTATTTATTTGAAGTCAACATTTATAATATAGGTGTAGATCAAGTACAGTGCTGCCCAAACAATACAGTAATAACTGTGTTGATAATAATGACCCTGAGAGTCTGCAAAATGCTAAGCAACCATAGAGCCATTGGTTTTCATTGTCCAAAAATCCTCAATGGTATAGAAAGCATTCTCATATTTTTGGCAGATTTTCAATACTGAGAGTTAAAGCAAAACATGCAAATTCCTAGTTTAAAAAAAAAAAGTCAAGAGAAGCACTTACATTCTAGATTTAGATCTCCTCTGACACTGAAGCATCTCTGGAAGGGTCTTCAGGCTGAATAATGAGTGTACTTTTGGTGAGGATTAATGGAGCGCTTGAGGCACCCCTTCCTGGGCCCTCCTCACCTATTAAACTCCTGCTTTTTCGGTTGGCCTCATTGTGACTCAGACCATGCCGAGTGCCACATCGGGGCTTCCCAGACACTCAAGCCAGGACAATGCGAGCGGAGCACTGCCTGGGAGCTTGGTCATGAGGCTAATTCGTCCCTGTCAGCAATTGACCGATCTTGGGCTGGTGTCTGCATCTCTTCTTAGGCCATCTAATTGTGAGGGAAAAAATATGTACTGCCCAGGTTTTTTGTGAGGATTCGATGAGATGATTGGATCTCAGCCCTGTGCCTGGCACACAGCGAGCACTCCACGACAGGCAGGTGCCGCAGGCTGTGGTGGTGACTGTGGTCAGTGCTGAGGTTCCGGGGCCTTAAGAGAGGTGTGAGCAGGGCTGATGTGGGCTTCCCCAGGATTTGGTTTCCTCTCACTTTCCTCCACCCAGAGCCCCCATTCTCCTTGGCTAAGACTTCTGACACACTTTTCTTCTTTAGGTTCAGCCAGTTTCCCGTAAGAAGCTTCAGCTGGTTGGCATTACGGCACTGCTCTTGGCTTCCAAGTATGAGGAAATGTTTTCTCCAAACATCGAAGACTTTGTTTACATCACTGACAATGCTTATACCAGTTCTCAAATTCGAGAAATGGAAACTCTGATTTTGAAGGAACTGAAATTTGAGCTGGGTCGACCGTTGCCACTACATTTCTTAAGGCGGGCATCGAAAGCTGGGGAGGTAAGTGTCTCCAGTTCTCTAGGAGACTTTATTTTGCTGTTTGTTGTCTCATCCCAGAAATGATCCAATGAAAGGAAAGCTTATGAGTTGATAAGAAGCATTTCATAGATAAGTCCTAACACTTGTCAGTTCTTAAAAGACTATGTTCTGTGTTTGTAACATGCTGTGGAACAGAGCAGTGCCTGGGAAGGAAAAGAAAGTTCAGTGGCTTTGAGCTCTTAGGTCTTCACCCAGAATTTTGCAGGAGAATAATAACAGCTGTGCTTCTTTCCACCCCCGCCTGTTTTTTCGTAGGTCGATGTTGAACAGCACACTTTAGCCAAATACTTGATGGAGCTGACTCTCGTTGACTATGACATGGTGCACTATCACCCGTCCAAGGTGGCGGCAGCCGCTTCCTGCCTGTCCCAGAAGGTTCTAGGCCAAGGAAAATGGGTGAGTATTGAGTTTAAGAAGAAATGTATTAGCTATATTTTTGGGCCTCTTGACATGAAATGTATTAGCATTTTTACAGTGCTATCCTTGAAACAGCAGTTAAAAGTCCACAGGCTTAAAAGAGCCGCTGGAATGATTCAGGTGGAGACTGGGTGACTATGCCATGGTATATTACACATATTGTGTTACAGCATCCTCAAGAGTGAGGAAGGCCACTAAGAACTTGCATCAGTTGTATCTTACTGTATCAACAGTATCTTATTGTATCATAAGATTTCTGGGTTATTTTGTTAAGTGAAACAGGCAAGTTGTCAAGCACATAAGACAAAGTAGGGCCAAGGCCTGACCTTGTTTAGATGGGTAAAGATGAATTGAGCCACTTTCAGGTTCATTCAAGTAGTCAAAGATGTCAGCTGCTCCCTGGGTTCTTGTTTCAGATGCCAAAAAGGATAGCAGTGAAACATAGGGGGCTGTTGCCTGCAGTGAGAGTCAGAGGAGCGCTTTTGTGGATGAGCCCACTCTTGACCGCCACTGAACAGTTTTATTTATTTATATTTTAAAAAAAAGCACTTATTTATTTGGCTACACCAGGTCTTAGTTGCACATGTGGGATCTAGTTCCCTGATGAGGGGTCCCCTGCATTGGGAGCACAGAGTCTTAGCTGCTGGACCACCAGGGAGGTTCCTATTAAGCAGTTTTAGAGTCCACAAACAGCAGAGCAAACACATTAGCCGAACCCAGGAGGTGATAAGACCCCATCTTATCACAAGATCACAAAGCCAAGGCAGATCCATGTGGTTCCAGCCTCTGTGTGGCCTGTGATGGATACGTGCAAGATTGCTGGGGCACCATGGTGGACCTGTTCCTCTGCACGGTCGATAGAGTTTACATTTTACATAAGAAAGAATGGAAGTAAGAGATAGGGGATATGTATTTGTGTGCTGTATTTGCTCATTTTTCAAAAAACATAAAAATGGAAATGAATGAAGATGGATACCTCTGGGTGTGGGTATCAGAGTAGAAGGTTGAGGGTGGGGAAGCAGGACTCCTGGTTGTAATTTTTTATTAGCTTGAGTAACTTTTTTGACTTTTGAACAATATTGACATTCTATGCAAATCCTGAACTGGAATTAAGCAAAAAAAATGTTACTATATATTCAGAGTGGTAACAGAGGGAAGAATTAATTCTGGTAACTTTTGAACACAGCATTCTGACTATGCATCTATAGTGGGATGTAAAGGTCAACAAAACAAAGGACCAAAAAAGGTCACATATTTAAAGCTTGCTTGGGAGTTTTACTCATCTGTTAATAGGAGTTTAATAGTAGTCTCTTATAATTCTGAAACTATTTATGTTGTAGGATAAAGCAAATAAGAGTAGAGTTTCCTTGGTGGCTGAGACAGTAAAGAGTCTACCTGCAATGCGTATACCCAGGTTCCATCTCTGGGTCGGTAAGATCCCCTGGAGAAGGGAATGGCAACCCACTCCAGTATTCTTGCCTGGAGAATTCAACAGAGGAGACCATCTATGGGATTGTGTAGAGTTTGACATGACTGAGCGACTAACACTCAAAGCAAATAAACATTCATGTTATTAAGGATGATAACTCTCACTGTAAGAAGATAAAATATTGTTAACAATTCAAAACTAAAGGAAAACCCTGTAATATTAATTCTTTTTTAGAAATATCAATAAATTCATAATGAAAGGACCAGAAAGAGTGATAACCCAGTAGCAATGAAGATGCTTACTGCTCACATCTTGGATACTCAAGGCATGACCCACTAGGAACCTAGGGCTCCTTTGAGAAATATCTGATTTCAGAACCATGGCAGGGGAAGTACACGGTGAGCCTGGAACAGTTTATAACAGGTAGCCAGCAAATTCTCAAACATGAATGGGGTTACATCAAAAGAGGACATAGAAACTGGCTTGGAAGGGTTCCTTCTGACTACAGTTGAGCATTAAAAAGAATTATGATCCAATAGATTATAATACATTAAAAAATGCATGAGTCCATAATGATAAAAAAGGAAGGAAGGAAGATAAGGACCAAGGGAGGGAGTTAAAAAGAAAATTCAGTAGAAAGCCAGCTAATTAGAAATAATGGTAGAGATAGAAACTCACCATTTTTAAACCCCCAGTGATAACTGATTCTAGCAAGGATCATCAATTGATGCTTATAAGCATTAGGTAAAATAATTTTGGAAAACAAGATTCATATTGTTCTCTAAATATCACCCCTCAGTTGCATAGTGATTCTGAAGAAAACCTGTATCTTTGACAACCTGACTTGACCTCCTCATGCAGTAGGAAATATGCATTTTCCCCTATATAGAATTCATGTCCAAAATGTGGATATGAATCTAGCCATCAGGAAACAGACAAATCCAGAATGTGGGTCATTCTCAAACCAACTGGCCTGGATCCTTAAAAAAAAAAGTGTCATTTAAAGCCAAGAAAATAGGAGTTTGAAATTAAACACCAAAGACAACAACAACCAAATAAATGGACTGTGTGTACCTTGATTGGACCCTGGATATATATTTTTAAAAAAATCTGTAAAAGATATTTTTGCAGCAATTGGAGAGATTTGAATATTGACTGTATAATAGATGATATTATGGAACTGTTGATGTTTCTTATGTGATAAAGTTATTGTGGCTTGGGAGGAAGATATCAATACTTTTTAGGAGATACTTGTGAAACATTTAGAGGTGATGTGTCATGGTGTCTGCTACTCACTTCCTTTTTTATAATTTATTTTTATTTATTTTTGGCTACACTGGGTCTTGTTGCTGCATGCAAGCTTTCTCTAGTTGTGAGTGGGGCCTACTGTATAGTTGTGGTGTGCAGGCTTCTCATTGCAGTTCTAGGATGCGCACATTTCAGTAGTTTCAACTTGTGGGCTCTAGAGTGCAGGCTCAATAGTTGTGGCACACGGGCTTATTTGCCCCACAGCATGTGGAATTTTCCTGGAACCAGGGATCGAACCTATATCCCTTGTATTGGTAGGCAGATTCATAACCCCTGAACCACCAGGGAAGTCCTACAACTCACTTTCACACGGTTCAGCCATTTGATGGCTTCAGAAATCACATGCAACTTTTGCTGAACGATGTGAAAGTGAGTTGCAGATGCTATGAGTTAGTGGCAGGGGAGGAGAAGAGGAGAGAAAGTGGTGAAATATTAAGAATTGATGAATCTGCACAAAGAATATACAGAATTCTTTCAGTTTTTCTATAGATTTGAGACTTTTTGACATAAAAACAGGAGGCAAGGATGGGGAAGTGGGAGGGAGGCTTAATAGAGGGGCATATATGACATGAGTTTGAGCAAACTCTGGGAGATGCTGAAGAACATGGAAGCCTGGCGTGCTGCAGTCCGTGGGGTCGCAGAGTCGGACATGACTGAGTGTTTATTAATGCTGTTGTATAGCAGAAACCAACAAAACATTGTAAAGCAATTTTCCTCCAATTAAAGCAAAAAAACAAAAAAAGCACACACAAAATTGGAGACAGAAAGGCCCCGGTCCATGCAGGGCACATGGTCTTGGTACCAGTGGCTTGGTCTAGTCAGCTAGAGCTGCTTCCTTGGCTCTACACCTGTCAACTGTAGGCCTCCCTGCTTACTGGGAGTTGATATCAAAATGCCAGGAGCTGTGTGTTACATCAGATTCACTCTTCTTACTTCCTTTTTCCTTTAAACTATTTTAGGATTAAGGTTATATTGTGGTTTATTTTCCCAATTATATTGTGCATATGAAAGTGGTATGTTTTAGCTTTTAGAATTTTATCACGAACTGAAATCATCAGGTTACATATCTTCATGCAAAATAAGTCTTACTATCAGTCAACAGCTGTGTTTTTTGCTTAAATTGCGTTCTCCGGGAGGCTGGGTGCACGTGCTTCTGAGTGCCGTGGGTTTTCTCGTTCTTAACGATGAGGGCCCAACAAGGGAGCCCTGTGCGTTGTGTGCTCAAGTTGTTTCGGTCGTGTCCGGCTCTTTTGCAACTCTATGGGCTGTAGCCCACCAGTCTCCTCTGTCCATGGGATTCTCCAGGCAAGAATACTGCAGTGGGTTGCCATGCCGCCCTCCAGGGGATCTTCCTGACCCAGGGATCAAACTTGCGTCTCTTGTGTCTCCTGCACTGGCAGGTGTGTTCTTTACCACTGGCGCCACCTGGGAAGCCCCAAGAGAGTCCTGGGAAGTCATAATTCTTCTGGGTTTCATAGCTTAGATTGCTGCTTATGGCCCAGTTTGTTTATTTTTTTTTTTAAATTTCTTTATTTTTGGCTGTGCTAGGTCTTCATGGTTGAGCATGGGTTTTTCTCTAGTTGCGGCAAGCAGGGCTACTTTCTAGTCACTATGCATGGGCTTCTTATTGCAGTGGCTTTTCTTGTTATAATGCATGGGCTTAGTTGCCCCACGGCATGTGAAATCTTCCTGGACCAGGGATTGAACCCGTGTTCCCTGCATTAGCAGGTGAATTTCTTTTTCTTTTTTTAATTGAAGGATAATTGCTTTATGGTATTGTGTTGGTTTCTGCCATACATCAACATGAATCAGCCACAGGTATACATATATCCCCTCCCTCTTGAACCTCCCTTCCACCTCCCTCCCCATCACACCCCTCTAGGTTGTCCCAGAGCCCTGGTTTGAGTTCCCTGGTTCATAAAGCAAATTCCTACTGGCTATCTATTTTACATATGGCAGTGTATATGTTTCCATGCTACTCTCTGCATTTGTCCCACCTTTTCCTTCCCCCTCCCCCTGTGTCCATAAGTCTGTTCTCTATGTCTGCCTCTTCATCACTGCCCTGCAGATAGGTTCATCATTACCATCTTTCTAGATTCCATATGTATGTGTTAATATATGATATTTTGTTCTTCTCTTTTTGACTTACTTCACTCTGTATGATAGACTCTAGGTTCATCCACCTCATTAGCACTGACTCAAATGCTTTCCTTTTTATGGCTGAGTAGTTTTCCACTGTACATATGTACCACAACTTCTTTATCCAGTCATCTGTTGGTGGACATCTAGGTTGCTTCCATGTCCTAGCTATTGTAAATAGTGCTAGCAGGTGGATTCTCTTTTTAAAAAAAATTAATTTATTTTAATTGGAGGCTAATTACTTTACAATATTGTGGTGGTTTTTGCCATACATGGACATGAATCAGCCACAGTTATACATGTGTCCCCCATCCTAAACCCCCCTCCCACCTCCCTTCCCACCCCATCTTTCTGGGTTGTCCCAGAGCACCAGCTTTGAGTGCCCTGCTTTATGCATTGAACTTGCACTGGTCATCTGTTTTACATATGGTAATATACATGTTTCAATGCTGTTCTCTCAAATTATCCCACCCTCGCCTTCTCCCACATAGTCCAAAAGTCTGTTCTTTACATCTGTGTCTCTTTTGCTGTCTTGCATGTAGGGTCATCATTACCATCTTTCTAAATTCTATATATATATGTTAATATACTATATTGGTGTTTCTCTTTCTGACTTACTTCACCCTGTATACTAGGCTCCAGTTTTATCCATCTCATTAGAACTGACTCAAATGCATCCTTTTTTTATAGCTGAGTAATATTCCATCGTGTATATGTATCACAATGTCCTTATCCATTCGTCTGCCAATGGACATCTAGGTTGCTTCCATATCCTAGCTATTGTAAACAGTGCTGTAATGAACATTGGCGTACATGTGTCTCTTTCACTTCTGGTTTCCTTGGTGTGTATGCCCAGCGGTGGGATTGCTGGGTCGTATGGCTATTCTATTTCCAGTTTTTTAAGGAATCTCCAGACTATTATCCATAGTGACTGTACCAGTTTGCATTCCTACCAACAGTGTAAGAGGATTCCTTTTTCTCCACACCCATTCCAACATTTATTGTTTGTAGACGTTTTGATGATGGCCATCCTGACCGGCGTGAGATGGTACCTCACTGTGGTTTTGATTTCCATTTCTCTGATAATGAGTGATGTTGAGCATCTTTTCATGTGCTTATTAGTCATCTGTATGTCTTCTTTAGAGAAATATCTATTTAGTTCTTGGGCCTACTTTTTGACTGGGTCGTTTATTTTTCTGGTGTTGAGCTGAAAGAGCTACTTGTATATTTTGGAGATTAATTCTTTGTCAATTGTTTTGTTTGCTATTATTTTCTCCCATTCTGAAGGCTGCCTTTTCACCTTGATTATAGTTTCCTTCATTGTGCAAAAGCTTTTAAAATTAGGTCCGATTTGTTTATTTTTGTTTTTATTTCCATTACTTTGGTAGGTGGGTCATAGAGGATCTTGCTGTGATTTATGTTAGAGAGTGTTCTGCCTATGTTTTCCTCTAAGGTCTTACATTTAGATCTTTAATCCATTTTGAGTTTATTTTTGTGTATGGTGTTTAGAAAGTGTTCTAGTTTCATTCTCTCACAGGTGGCTGACCAGTTTTCCCAGCACCACTTGTTAAAGAGATTGTCTTTTTTTCCATTGTATATTTTTGTAGCAGGTGGATTCTTAACCACTGAACCACCAGGGAAGTCCCCCAGTTTGTTTCTTAATCCTGAACCTTTTTCCCTGACTGCCAGTATGGATATCTGGGCTCCCAACTCCCCACTGGACTCTGCCAGGCTGGGCGGTTAAGAGGGGACTGAGGTGTGCCCTTACTGTCACCCCTTTTAGGCTTGTTTATACTGTGTCCCTCTTTCCTTCCCCTTTCAGTGTGGTGACAGAGGCAAGCCTGAAAGCTTTGTTAGTTGAAATAACCTACTTACCTGTGCAACCTTCTTTAAAACGTAATTATTTGGGACCTTCGCCATTTGATTGAGCTGAGAGTTTTGTAGTATCTTAACATAGTCCAGCTCAGAGGCAGAGTCATCCTGCGTTTACTGGCAGCTTTGCTGATACCATGATAGTGGTTGAGGCTGAATTTCCAGCAGGGAAGGATATTTTTATAGCTTTTACATCACTAATGTCAGCATATGTAAGATGTGCTCTCCTAAAGGAGAGGAGGTTTCATCTCGTTGCTGCTTTGCATTGTGTTCCAGAACTTAAAGCAGCAGTATTACACCGGCTACACAGAGAGCGAGGTGCTGGAGGTCATGCGGCACATGGCCAAAAACGTCGTGCGTGTCAACGAGAACATGACCAAGTTCACCGTGAGTATACTCTTCCCGCACCTGGTCAGACTCCAGGTTACGTGTTCAGGATATGAGAGGACGGATGCGTATGTGTTTGCATCTTCATGTAAATACTTTGGCATGTGTGTGAGTCTGTTTCACACATGTTTCTCTAGTAGCCCAGGGGCTGGAGCATACTGATAAACCCTGAGAGCTGACGGCCTTTACAAGAAGGTAGACAGGCTCCCTGTGTCCAGCCCCAGGCAGCTGTTCAGTGTATTAACCACGTTCCACCCAGCTTTCTGGGGAGGGTGCACCACAGCAGGGAATGCTGGCTGGCATGTAGGGGTCCAGCTTGAGTGGCCCTGTGGAAGCCTCGGGTATTTGGGTGACCTCACACAGGGTCTTTGTCCAGCATCTTTTAGGACAGCGACTGAGAGGGACTTCCCAGGTGGCACTAGTGGTAACGAAGCCACCTGCCAATGCGGGAGACATAAGTGACGTAGGTTCAATCCCTGGGTGGGGAAGATCCTCTATTCTTGCCTAGAGAGTCCCATGGACAGAGGAGCCTAGGGGACCACAGTCCATAGCGTCGCAAAGAGTTGGACACAACTGAGCAACTAACACTACACTGCACCTGAACAGCAAGTGTTCATTCAGGAAGTGTCCTGGGGGCTGGCATCTGTCTCTGTGTGGCCCACTTGAGAGGAGAAACCAGATAGGGTGCTGTCCTGTGCCTGTGTGATGCCGAATATCAGGGCTCACCCAGGGTCTGGTGACGAGAGCAAGGCATGTATACTGAGTGTCCTCACGGTGTGGCATGCATCCTACCTTGTAGCTTCAGCATGACTTAGCACACCAGGGAAGCAGTGTGTTTTTGGTCCTGAGAGTGTCCTCTGGGACCTGAGCACCAGTTACCGCTCCAGTGCTGGTGAATCTGTTATGTCCCAATGGCGCTAGATATGATAAATAGCTCCTGCCTCCACCCCTCGTGAGAGAAAGCCTGTTCTCTGGACCTTGAAATCATTTGTTCCCCATTACCTGTGCTACCAGCTGGGTTTTATCCATTCCTAGGCATGGCAGGAAATTGCCGTAAAGCAGTGGTCACCCACCTTTTCAGCACCAGGGACCAGTTTTGTAGAAGACAATTTTTCCATGGATGGGATGGGGGGCATAGTTTTGAGATGACTCAAACACAAGTACATTCATTGTGCACTTTATTTCTATTATTTTTACATCAGCTCCACCTCAGATCATCAGGCATTAGATCCCAGAGGTTGGGGACCCCTGCCTAGAGCACTTGTGAACTTTAGTGGTTTGGCATCATCATACCCTTTGGAGATTGTGGATCTGGCCCTTTGATTCTTGTAAATTAGACTAGGAATAAGGTATGAGGTTGGGGGTGTCGTGGGGGGCTCCTGACGTGTGCTTAATCGCAGATGACTTCTGCAGGCCATCAAGAATAAGTATGCGAGCAGCAAACTCCTGAAGATCAGCACGATTTCTCAGTTGAACTCAAAAGCCATCCACGAGCTTGCCTCACCTCTGCTGGGACGGTCCTAGGCTCCAGGGCCCTGGGGAAGAGTGTGTCATCTGTGCACTTTGTCTTGCTGATCTGGAATTCCTGAGTTTGTATATAGTCGTCTGGTCTATCTCATGAAACCTCTTAGACCGGTTTTCTAAATGTATATTGAGGAAAAATAAAGCTATTGATTTTCTTAAGGTATCCTGTGTGTTTGTGTTTGGGTATTCTACACTGAAGAAGTCAACAGAAGCCTTTCTATGTCTAATTTCTTTTCGAGCTGTTATGATTGTAATATGTAGACATGGGGAAGATTTAAACCATTTTCTCAGAGAAAACTAGAACTTTGCTTCAGTGAATACTCACCTATTCCTAAACTTTGTGAATATAAGAGGATTGGTTCATCATAGAAAATTTAAAATGGGAGAATAACCATGACATTCTCTTTCAAGATCATACTTATCTATCCTCTAATTCCTGTACAGGAGCACCTGGCCCACTAGGGTGATGGCTTCCAAAAGTAACCCTCTTAATGTGTTTCACTCGAAGGCACGGGTTGAGACCAGGAATAGCAGTGCCAAGGGGCCACAGCTGGAAAAAGGAAGCAGGCCTGTGACATCCTGTTAAAGGTGAAACTTAGGATGCTTTTTTGTTTGTTCTAACTACATTATGGTTTACTTTTTTTTCCCTTTGGTGGGCATTTGATTACATTTAATACTGTTTTCTAAGAGGGAGTACATTCTCAGTCTCCAACCACTAACCTGAAAAAGAAAAAGTTCTCTTATAGCAACGGCTTCCTAAACTACTAGTTCAACAAGATGGTAATTGGTTTTCTGAGGGACAGGAGTTAGATACATTTGGGAAACATTGCAAACTCATGTAAGATTCATAAAGGCTCAGAAGCTTTGCAGTAAGCTCATTTAATGCAGTTTCCTCAACTAGAATGTGTTAAGAGCTGCCTCCTGCAGCACTGAGGTCCATAGGTGCCTGGCTCTGTGCTCAGCTATGGCGTGCCACTGCCCTGACCCGGGGGGGCTGTCTGACTCTGCAGAGGCCTCACCCCTGTCCCTGGGGGGTGGGGGGGGGCAGGCTGCCTGACAGTAAACCTGTAAGTCTCAAGCATTGAGAGGAACTGGGTGTCTTTATATGTTGTGTCTTAGTATAAAGTTTTATAAATATCTCTTGTTGAGTTTGTGACGCTTGTTCCCATGGCAGCCTTAGACCCACTTAGTCACCAGTGTGAATGGTGACGAAGTGAGACCATGAGAGGGAGATTTCCTGGCTCTGAAAAGCAGTTATTTCCCAGGGACGCTTGATCTCCAACTTCTCATCAAGAAAGGATGGGTTTTTATAGGCGTATTCTAAAGACATTTTAGAACTTCTTTATTACATATTTTGCTTAGTTAAATAATAAAATACCCTGACTCAGGAAATTCATACTTCCAGGATGTCTTAAAAAAGAAACAACCAAAAACCTTTTAAGATATTCATGTGCCAACCAGGCACCTAAAACTGAAGTGTTATAAATGTGAAATAAGCTGTAAAAGTAGAAATCATAATGTCATAAAAACACTGAAATTAGACAAGATGATGGAACCCCAGTATTGGAAAAGCTGGGTTGCTTGGGTGAAAGTGTACTTGCAGCTGTGTTACCTCTGTGCTTGTTTCTGTGTCTGTAAAATGGGGGTACGAGCATCTACCTCGAGGCTTCCCTGGTGGTCCAGCATCCAATGCAGGGGGTGTAGGTTCCATCCCTGATCAGAGAAATTAAGATCCCATGTTTTGCCATGGTGTGGCCAAAAAAAAAAGGTATCTGCCTCACAGTGTTGTCCTAAGTATGTCAAGCACGTATTTGGAGGTGCTCAAATGTTAGCGGCTGTTAGTTTAAGAAGGTTGATGGTCTTGTAAAGAGATGGACTCTGGGTATTCAAAGATATATTGTACATAGCTCTTTAAAAATTTTTTTAAATTTTACAATGTTGTATTAATTTCTGTACAGCAAGGTGATTCAGTTATACATATATTGATATATTCATTCTTTTAATATTCTTTTCAGTTATGGTTTATCATAGGATATTAAATGTAGTTCTGTTATACAGTAGGACCTTGTTCAGCTATCCATTCCATATATAATAGCTTACATCTGCCAATCCCACCCTTCCAGCCCATCCCTTCCCCAAGCCTCTCCCCCTTAGCAACCACAAGTCCATGCTCTATGTCCGTGAGTCTGTTTCGGTTTCATAAATAGGTTTATCTGTGTCATATTTAGATTCCATGTTTGAGTGTCTCTTAGCACAATAATCTCTTGTTGCACCCAAGTTGCTATAAATGGCATTATTTTGTGGGTTTTTTTGGCTTAGTAGTATTCCATTATATATATGTACCACATCTGCTTTATCCATTCATCTGTCAGATTATTTCCACATCTTGGCTATTGTGAACAGGGCTGTTATGAACACAGGGGTGCATGTATCTCTTTGAATTATAGTTTTGTCTGGATATACGCACAGGAGGGGGATTGCTGGATCAAACTCTGGTTTTCTGGGGAAACTCCATACTGTTTCTCAAAATGGCTGTACTAATCTACATTCCCACCAAAGTGTAGAAATGTTCCCTTTTCTCCACATCCTCTCTAGCATTTGTTGTTTGTATGTAGAATTTTTAATGGTGGCCATTCTAATCACTGATGTGAGGTGGTACTTTATTTTATTGAATAGTTTTGATTTGCATTTCTCTCATAACCAGTGGTGTTCATCTTTTCATGTGCCTGTTGGCCATCTAGACACTGAGAAATATCTACTAAGGTCTTCTGCCCATTTTTTGATTGGGTTGCTTTTTTGTTGAGTTGTATGAGCTGTTTTGTATATTTTGGAAATTAGGCCCTTATTGGCTGTATTGTTTGCAGATACTTTCTCCCATCCTGTAGGCTGTCTTTTTTCTTTTTTGTGGTTTCCTTTGGTGTACAAAAGTTTGTGTTTGACTAGGTCCCATTTATTTTTGCTTTTATTTCTACTGCCTTGGGAGACTGACCTAAGAAAACATTGGTACAATTTATGTCAGTGAATGTTTTGCCTATGTTCTCTTCTAGGAGTTTTATGGTGTTATGTCTAATATTTAAGTATGTAAACTATTTTGAGTTTATTTTCGTGTATGGTATGAGGGAGTGTTCTAACGTCATTGATTTACATGTAGCTGTCCTGCTTTCCCAACACCACTTGGGGAAGAGACTGTCTTTTCCCCATTGTATATTCTTCCCTCCCTTGTCAAAGATTAATTGACAGTAGGTGTGTGGATTTGTTTCTAGGCTCTGAGTCATATTTGTAAGGTTTTATTTTTGTTTTTAGCTTTCTGATTTTTGAAAGATATTGAAAAGATTTTGAAAGATTTGAAAGATATTAACAGACCATCAAGCATGTTAATATTTGTTTAACTGAAGACAAAGACTAAAAGCATAGAACTTGGGGTCAGATCAGGGTTCCAATGGTGGCTGGTTCTAGTTGGGCATTGTCCTTGCACTTTCTCATTTGCAAAGTGAACATTTTAGGCTAGGGCATGCTGGCTAGCAGGGTACGTAGTCCCGTACACTGGGAGGGGAAGGCATCAAGATGAGCCGGGAGGAGTAAAAGTGAGACTGGCAAGGCCTTGGGAGACAAAACAAGGAGGGATGGGGGCAGAGTGGCTCCCATTCTCTTGACCACAAAGGTGAGGGATCCAATGAAGCTGTAAGGTCCTCCACCAAAGATACACTGTGCATGCTCTGCTCCCACACCCAGACTTTGCTCCCGAACTCTCCAATGAAACCGCCCAGGAAATCACCTGCTCCAGAGGCAGGACAAGCTGGGCCTGCCCAGCAGCACATAGGTCTGGGGAGCTGAAGGGGAGTCATGTGGCAAAGGATTTGGGTTGTGTACACGTCCTGCTCTGCAGCGAGCCTGGAGACTTAAGTTCTGTGGGTGCACAGCCATGCTGTCCCTCACTTGTGCCTGTGAGAATCTCTCCCTGGAAGAAGGCATGGCTGTGAGTGAGCTCTCAGCACTGGGCCAGCTGCTCTGGGCAGAGGCTGTCCCCAGCAAGACTCCCAACCCCTGCATCTGAGGCCATAGGACTAAGTTCTGACCAGCAGAACGTGAGTGGATGGGATATGTGCACTTTGGAGGGAATGTCCTTTAAATGGGAAAACTGTACTCCTCACCCCTTACTGCCTTCATGGGGCAGACTTGGTGATGGGTCAGGTGTCATGGGGGGAGGCGGGTATGGGTGGTTGCACCCCGGCTGATAGGGGAGCAAGCTCGTAAGGAAGACTCAGCTTTGCCCTCTTCATGGGTGTCAGTCTTGCTTTCCCCAACATTGCAAAGTTGACCCTTGCATAATGTTTTCAGGAAGCCAGGCATTCTCCTTGCCTGTGGCATCCTCTGCTTATTAGCACTTACCCCTCTGTGGTTCTCAAAACGTGGCCATGAGGCCAAAAACTCTTCCCAATACTAGAATGTTATTTGTGTGTGTGTGTGTGTTTTTTACTGTTCATTCTGTCAGTAGGTTATGGTGGAATCTTCCAGAGGCTATGTGACATGTGATGATGGAATGTGCGTGCTCACTGGTGTTTTAAAATGTTCTCACTTTGAATTTCTAGTATGGTAAACACTGATGACTGCAACAAAAGCAGAGCTCTTGGAGGTTGTTAGTAGTACAGAAGTGTGTAAAGGAGTTCTGAGGCCAAGGGGTTTGGGAACTGCTGGTCCACTACCAGTCTGAACACCTCTGCCCTAGGGTCCAAGTTCAAGCTTGCTCCTGTGGTTCTTGGTTACTTTGTATCATCAGCTGAAGGGATCTGTCACCTTTTCATAATGTAATGGTTTCTAATGCTATACACACAGGACCCTTCTCCTAAACAGGATGACAGGTTCTAGGAGGTGGGGATGGCCCTTCACCCTCTCCAGGTTCTTCCTGGTTAAGTGATTCCTGTACTAGCCTCATGTCTGTCTAAACAATGGCAGGCCTGGCTGGATCCACAGAGGAGAGAAACCTGTATTTAAGTCTTTACCTAGAAACATCAATGCTGTCACCGATTCAGGCAACGCCCGAATTCCTGGAGCCCGGCCCCAGACTTCAGTGTCAGTCACCATGAGCCCCGGGCCCAGCCTCGAGGGGGAGTTGGGGGCTCATGATGACGCCAAAGGCCACCTGGATGGCCCTGCTCCTAAGGCAGCAGCCTGGCCTTGGGGCTGTGGGGAGTCTGATGCTCTCCTGTGTCCTTCCTCCTGCTCTTCAGTGAGTCCAAATGAGTGAAACTGAAAGTCCCTTGTGAGATACAGAGACTATTAGTGTCAGTAGAATTACCTTTCCTTATGTCATCACGTTACGGCTTTCTTTTCCTTTCTTAAGTGGTCACAAAATGGAGCTGAAATATACTTTAAACATTATTTGTTAGCAAATGATATTTGCTCTCTGCTCTTGAAGTAGAACAGAATTATTTGCCCCAAATTCAAATACATTTTCCCCCTAATTTATAATCCCCGATAATGTTTTTCCCTTCGACTTGGAGACCCCAAAATGACAAAAAGGGATGTGCCATCAAATCCTACTTTCCCAGGAGCTTAAAACTGGCTGTGGCAACCAGGAGGAGAGGTTGAGGCCATTCCTTTGTCGGTGGACATGACACTGTTTTCAACTTCTCAGCGCTGTTGCGGTGAACACTGTCTCGGGGGTGCTAGCGCTGCCTTAATTAAGTGCCACAGACCAGGCGGCTTACCAGCAGAACCCCTGCCTCACCACTGCGGAGGCTGCAAGTCATGCGATGCAGGTGTCGGCGGGGCTGATCTCCCCTGGGGACCATGAGGCTCTGTCCCAGTCCCTCTCCTTTGGCTTGCAGGTGGCCAACTCTTCACTCATCTCCTCCCTCTCTGTGTCGATCTGTGTCTAAATCTCCTCTTTTTATCAGGATGGTGGTTATATTGGATCAGGGGCCCTGCTGATGACCCCATTTTAACTAAGTCACCTCTGTGAAGACCCGATTTCCAAGGAAGGTGCCGGCGTTTAGGACCTGAACATACCTTCTGTTGTGGGGGTGGACACAACCCAGACACAGGTCATGAAAGAGCAAGGTGGTTCATTGATTCCTTTATTTTGGAGGTCAGGGGAGGAGACATGGAGTGGGGGACAGAGGAGAACTCCCAACAGGCGAGGGCTGGGAGGGTGTGCGGGGACTGAGCTCGGAAGCAGTAACACTGATGGTTCTACAGTCAGAAAGGAGTAGTGCGAGTCTGTAAGTACCTGATGTGAGTCTTGTCATAAAACCTATCTTAAGAGTAAGTACAGTGGGATACTGCTTAGTACATTCATATATGTTTCTACCATCTGGAGATTTTTATATATACAGTATATGATCTGGTTTTTTTTTGTTTTTTTATAAATGTACAGCTTGAAAAAAAAAGATCCTTCTCATAATAGGTACAGCATTAAACACGAAAACCAACATGGGCCAGCCACATACCAACTGAAGACCCAGAGAGAGCCTAGCCCACAGCCCAGCCACCGCCCTGCTGCCTGGCAAAATCAGCGGCACCCATGCACCTGTGGGCCCAGCAGGCCCTTGGCATCTGCATGGGAAGTGCCTGCTCCCGCCAAGCCCCCCGCACCTGCAGAGAGCGGGTCCCCTCGGAGGGCAGCTGGCCAAGGAATGCGCATGTCAGGTAATGAGAGAGGGATGAGAGAGATGTGCTCTTCAACTAAAGGCACTTGTCAGTGGCCACCCAGGGCCGGCCCCTGGGCCTGGTGGGCGAGCAGGTGCTGTTTTGATAGAGCTGGCAAGGTCGGCGTGGACCTCCTGGTCCTCTCACCAGGTTTAAATAGAATAAATAAATCTTAGTGGGTGCCTGTTTTGCCCTCCTGGGTTCCTGTGGAGTGACACTCCCTGTCTCCAACCCAGCTCTGTGAAGTCCTCCACGGGCAGGGGGCCGAGGAGCTCCAGGCCTCGCAGAAGCAGCTGCTCGCTATGGATCAGGAGGGGGGCCCCACACGTCCCCTCCCACATGTGCCTGAAGCTCCTTCGTCCCTAGCGTCAGAGTCTCTGCGCGCCTCAGATCTTGGTCACGTAGTTGTTGGGGAACAGGCCCTGCTTGCCGCGCAGTCGCCCCGTCCACCAGCCAGAAGGATCTGCGGGGACACGGAGATGGTGAAGGTTAGTCAGGGCCTCTGCTCCCAGAGGTGCACCCACAGGCAGAGGAGACCAGGCTCCATCCATGTTCTTTCTCATGTTCTTTTTGTGAAAATCAGATGTGCGGATGTGCCTCACAGGCCCCCTTCCAGAAGAACCCACTGCCCGTTGTGAGGTTTTGCTGCCCGTCTCCAGTGGTTGGCCCCATAGAATCTTCCCACCTGTGAGACAGGCCAGCTGCGGGGCTGGCAGGCTGTGACGGCAGCTCGCGGTCGGATGACTCTAATCCTGTGTCCCCCCTTTTCTTTCCCGACACACCTTTCACATGCCTTACTCCACCTCACCATCTTCCTGGGAGAACTGATCTGCATCACTTCACCATCTTACTTCCCAGCTTAATCCTAGTCCCTCACCAGTAATAAGTATTTGGTATATATTCTTCCAGACCTTTTTCTGTGATTATAAACACACATTCATTTTAGACAGGTCATTCTATATCTTACTCTTCTGCATCTTGCTTTTCACTACTCAATCATCTTTCCATGACTGCATCTCATTTTTTTTTTTCCATTTATTTTTATTAGTTGGAGGCTAATTACTTTACATCATTGCAGTGGTTTTTGTCATACATTGAAATGAATTAGCCATGGATTTACATGTATTCCCCATCCCAGTCCCCCCTCCCACCTCCCTCTCCACACGATCCCTCTGGGTCTTCCCAGTGCACCAGGCCCGAGCACTTGTCTCATGCACCCAACCTGGGCTGGTGATCTGTTTCACCCTAGATAATATACGTGTTTCGATGCTGTTCTCTTGAAACATCCCACCCTCGCCTTCTCCCAGAGTCCACAAGTCTGTTCTATACATCGGAGTCTCTTTTTCTGTTTTGCATGTAGGGTTATCGTTACCATCTTTCTAAATTCCATATATATGTGTTAGTATACTGTAATGGTCTTTATCTTTCTGGCTTACTTCACTCTGTATAATGGGCTCCAGTTTCATCCATCTCATTAGAACTGATTCAAATGAATTCTTTTTAATGGCTGAGTAATAATCCATGGTGTATATGTACCACAGCTTCCTCATCCATTCGTCTGCTGATGGGCATCTAGGTTGCTTCCATGTCCTGGCTATTGTAAACAGTGCTGCGATGAACATTGGGGTGCACGTGTCTCTTTCAGATCTGGTTTCCTCGGTGTGTATGCCCAGAAGTGGGATTGCTGGGTCATATGGCAGTTCTATTTCCAGCTTTTTAAGAAATCTCCACAGTTTTCCATAGTGGCTGTACTAATTTGCATTCCCACCAACAGTGTAAGAGGGTTCCCTTTCTCCACACCCTCTCCAGCATTTATTGCTTGTAGACTTTTGGATAGTAGCCATCCTGACTGGTGTGTAATGATACCTCATTGTGGTTTTGATTTGCATTTCTCTGATAATGAGTGATGTTGAGCATCTTTTCATGTGTTTGTTAGCCATCTGTATGTCTTCCTTGGAGAAATGTCTGTTCAGTTCTTTGGCCCATTTCTTGATTGGGTCATTTATTTTTCTGGAGTTGAGCTGGAGGAGTTGCTTGTATGTTTTTGAGATTAATCCTTTGTCTGTTGCTTCATTTGCTATTAATTTCTCCCAATCTGAGGGCTGTCTTTTCACCTTGCTTATAGTTTCCTTTGTTGTGCAAAAGCTTTTAAGTTTCATTAGGTCCCATTTGTTTATTTTTGCTTTTATTTCTAAAATTCTGGGATGTGGGTCATAGAGGATCCTGCTGTGATTTATGTCGGAGAGTGTTTTGCCTATGTTCTCCTCTAGGAGTTTTATAGTTTCTGGTCTTACATTTAGATCTTTAATCCATTTTGAGTTTATTTTTGTGTATGGTGTTAGAAAGTGTTCTAGTTTCATTCTTTTACAGGTGGTTGACCAGTTTTCCCAGCACCACTTGTTAAAGAGGTTGTCTTTTTTCCATTGTATATCCTTGCCTCCTTTGTCAAAGATAAGGTGACCATAGGTTCGTGGATTTATCTCTGGGCTTTCTATTCTGTTCCATTGATCTATATTTCTGTCTTTGTGCCAGTACCATACTGTCTTGATGACTGTGGCTTTGTAGTATAGTCTGAAGTCAGGCAGATTGATTCCTCCAGTTCCATTCTTCTTTCTCAGGATTACTTTGGCTATTCAAGGTTTTTTGTATTTCCATACAAATTGTGAAATTATTCGTTCTAGTTCTGTGAAAAATACCGTTGGTAGTTTGATAGGGATTGCATTGAATCTATAGATTGCTTTGGGTAGTATAGCCATTTTGACAATATTGATTCTTCCAATCCATGAACACGGTAGATTTCTCCATCTGTTTGTGTCCTCTTTGATTTCTTTCATCAGTGTTTTATAGTTTTCTATGTATAGGTCTTTTGTTTCTTTAGGTAGATATACTCCTAAGTATTTTATTCTTTTTGTTGCAATGGTGAATGGTATTGTTTCCTTAATTTCTCTTTCTGTTTTCTCATTGTTAGTGTATAGGAATGCAAGAGATTTCTGTGTGTTAATTTTATATCCTGCAACTTTACTGTATTTGTTGATTAGCTCTAGTAATTTTCTGATGGAGTCTTTAGGATTTTCTGTGTAGAGGATCATGTCATCTGCAAACAGCGAGAGTTTCACTTCTTTTCCTATCTGGATTCCTTTTATTTCTTTTTCTGCCCTGATTGCTGTGGCCAACACTTCCAAAACTATGTTGAATAGTAGTGGTGAGAGTGGGCACCCTTGTCTTGTTCCTGATTTCAGGGGAAATGCTTTCAATTTTTCACCATTGAGGGTGACTGCATCTCATTTTTTAAACAGCTGCATCGTAAACCAATATTTGTATAGCCATTCTCTTATTTTTTTGCTGTTCATGCAATAAGTGTCCATACATATATCTTTATGCCCATGTGCAAGCAGTTCTATAGGACAGATTCTTGGAGCAAAGAATATGGACCTTCTATTATCCTTTAAGAAAATCTAGTTTACTTTTTGTGATAGATTATCCTTTTGTACTTTTGAAAATGCATGTGAAAGTATTAACAGTGAATACAACCACCCAGATCCCTTCTTGGAGGGCAAGCAGTATTACCTATTTCTTGCCCTTTCTTCCAGAGATATAGTTCATGTCTATAAAGTATTTGTTAAAAAGTCAACAACCTGTTGTATATAAATGATAGCATACTATGTGTTAGGCTCTTTAACCTTAATAATATAAACTAAAGATCATTTCACATCTGCATATAAAGAGCTTCTGTATTCTATAGCTATGCTTGTTCATTATCATTTGCTTAATTTTATTTCATGTTGGCCTCTTGTTCATTAGTTTTTTTATATACTAGTGAATCTGTCACATGAGTTACAAATGTCCTTCTTCCCATTTTTATTTACTCTGACATAATATTTGAGCAGTTGAATCAAAAGATTATTTTACAGTCTTTGTTTTCTATCACTTTTAGAAATCATTTCCCACACTGACACTATTAAGAAAAGAAAACTGTCTTATACTTACATCAAGGACTTCTGTATTTCTTTTATGCATGTAAGTATTAATTTATTTGGAACTGACCTTGGGGGGAGGGGTTAATATATAAATCCAAAGTAATAATTTTGATAAATACTGTTAAATTTCCTTCCCAAAAATCTATTTCAGCAGTAAATAGTGAAAGAAGGTACCCATTTCCCTGACTAAACACAAACATTACATTCCATACTTTATTTGCAGTGACAAAGTCCCGAAAGTTCTAAAAATTGAGTTTTCTATAACCCATCTGCTGGCCAAACTTGACCTGAACTGACATGGGCTTGTTTATGATGTCTTTGAGCGTATAGGCTCTTAGTTTCCACAGCAGAAACTGGCTGATCTAGGCTGTTGCCCTGGGAACTGGAAGGGGTGTTATATACTACATGATGTGTATATATACTATATGATGTTTATATATACTCCATTATTAACTTTGCAGAAGCTCTGATTTCTGAACCTCAATTTACCGAAAGGATTTGGATAAGGGAATGTGGATTTTCTCACATTTTAATCTTTGCTGACATCATAGGAGGCTCTGCTATGCATTGATTGCCCCAATAACATGTGTCCACTTTGGGGCTGGATTATTTGTATTATTTACATAGAGGAGTTATTTATATATGTAAAACATTTTTTTCCTAGTCTGTTTTCTATCATTTAACTTTCCCAGTGCTATTCACCACGTAGGTTTCAATGTAGCCTTTTTATGAGGTTAAATCCTATATGGTTTTTGAGTTTGACATCTTCCACAGGAAGATTTTTCTCACCAAAAGATAATATTCTACGTTTCCTTCTAAGACTTTTATAGTTTAGTCATATATTTTCAGATCTTTAATTCATCTGATAGTTATTTTGTATAAGAAGCATACAGCAAACTTTCTTTTCAAAATGGAAAGTAACTATTCTTTCCCCTGATTTCAAATGCCACATTTATCATCTATTAAATACCTATACACACAGGGGTCTGTTTCTGGATGCTATTCTATCCCTTGTATCTGTATGTCAATTCCTGCACTCACACCACACTTCAAAGTAAAGCAATACTTTATAGCATGTTTTGATAACTTTTAGGACTCTACATTTTACACAAATATATAATTGTTTTAATTATACCCACTGTGTTATTTCTACAAAACTTTGAAAATATTGAGAAATGAAAACAAAGTAATACTGAAAAGAAAGTTCAACTCTTAAGGGGACACTTTAACATTTTTTACTTTTAAAAACATTAAAAAAATTTTCCTATTCCATGTGTTATATATTTTTACAAAAATGAGACTAGTTCAGCCTTTTAATTTTTCCTTTTCTTCATGAACATTTTTCCATTTCAATAAATGTACTGTACTTCTGCATCATTAACACAAGAATTTTTGCATCCAAGTTCACTGAGTGGATATGGCAAAGCTTATTTAACTAATCCTTGTCACCGGATATTAGGTCATTTCCCATATTTTTGCTGAACAACGCTGATGATAAAAATCCTGTTTGTGTTACTAAAAGTTCATTTCAATACTTATTTTTATTTCAACTTTCTGAAGACTATTAAATGGCTTAAAATATTAACACCTGTAGAAAACCAGGTGGTTAAAAGGAGATTAAAAATAGCACCCAGAGGCTGCTTAGAAGGACTTTGGTCTGGGGACCTAGAATTCTCCTGGGAGTGAGAATTGGCCACCTCTTCAGGAAAGCGGCCCCTGCCGGGGAACCCCCGTCCACTCGGACTGTTGCTGCTCTGCTCCTGCACCTTGGATGGCTCTGCTCTGTCCTGACAACTTGTCTTAAGCCTGACACCCAGGGCTTCCGTGACCAGGCCACTCTGGCTTCATTTCATCCCCTGTGACATCTCCTTGAGGGTTCCTCACCGGGGTCAAGTGTCAGCTCATTTTCCTAAAATGACCTGCTCTTTCTAGCCTCCAAGGCTCCTCTCTCTGTCCCCCCCCCGCCCCCAACCCTCACCACAGATGTCATTTCCATCAGGGTACTTTTTCTAACATTCTAAATTAGGAGTGATTTTTTGTTTTTTATGCTTCCATAAGCAGTAGTGTTTGTGCTAATGTATCTTCTCTACCAAATTAATAAAGTATTCAGCCGAGCCCACAGACCAGACCATTTTTATAGTGGATGTTACAGGTTGTCTCCCTAGCTTCCATTCCATCTACCTTCAGCACAACAGGCCATGAAATCTGGGTGGGATAGACCTACCATTTCCGAGGGCAATCCCCGCCAGGTCTAGCCCACTTGGGATTACAGCATTTGCCTTGCTACAGAGACTGATTCAGGAATGGGCACATGACCATTCAATCAGAGTGAAACCTAGGCTTTCTATCCAATGGCTAAGAGAAGAAGTTTCAGAAGTAAAATGGATTTTAGACGTGGTTTGATCTGTTGGCCTAGAACTGATGCAGTCTTTTTGCTACCATGAGGGAAAACAGCCAGAGGAGGGAAGAAATACAAAGGAGAGCAGAGCTGACAGAAGTATTAAAAAATTAAGCTGGAGTTTAATTTCAGTTCAATCAGCCTGAAGTCTGACCTACCTCTTCAAATTTCAGTTAGAGGAGTACATAAATTCCCTTCACATTTAAACTAGTTTTTATAGCCTTGTGACTGTCTGCTCTTTGAGCCTATCCCAGCCAGCCATGCACTTACCCTCTTTGATAATATCGATAATGTCATTGGCGTTGAAGCTGAGTTCATCCGTGTCCTGAGCGTCATAGGCATAGAGAGCCTTGCACTGCGGCACCTGAGGCTTGGGCTTGGGCTGGGGCTTGGGTCTGCCCCCTGCTGGGGGAGGCCGGCTGGTTGTTTGTCTCCGGGCCCTGTGGAGAGAGTGGAGGCGGGTGAGAGGGGACCCAGCAGGAGGCGGCAGCACTGTGTGCGGGTTTGGCGCCTGGAGCCAACACTGCTCAAGTTCAAATCTAGCCCCATCCTTAGAAGGACATGTCAATCTAAACTTTCTTGGAGAATAAAACACCCTTCCTGACAAGGTCGGTGCAAAAGCACGTGGTTAATTCTGCATAAATGTTAGCTGCTGTTGCTGTGTTCCCAGCCTAGAAGGAAATACGTGAGACAAGTTTATAAAACATATTTACACATCTCAATGATAATATGACAGTCATGTATGTACTCCCCTCACCCCCAACTGTGAAACCAGAACTCTGCCACAAAAGCCTGCAGGTGCCTCTTCTCAACTGCAAGCCCTCCCAGAATGAACCCCTAGCTTGCACTTTATATTAATAATTCTGCTTTGCTTTGTAGTTTTACCATGCACATAAGTATCCCTAAACAATAGGCATAATTTACCTGTAAAAATCACACACTGCTATAACTGGCTCCATTTCTTCCCCCCAGCCATGGTGCACAGCTTGCAGGATCTGAGTTCCCTGACCAGGGACTGAATCCAGGCCATGGCAGTGAAAGCACCAAGTGCTAAGCACAGGGCCACCAGAGAATTCCCTCACTCGATCCATTTTTGAGATGAACACTGTTGATGCATGTAGTTCTGACTCATTCATTCTCACGGCTTTATATTTACTATTCCATTCCATGAATATGTCACCATTTACTTATCCAGCCCACTGTTGATGGTCATTTGAGATAATTCCAGTTTCATTACAGAAGAATGCTGCTATGAATGTTCTTGTGCAGAAAATTTATCCAAAGTAATTTCTCAACATCAGCACTCCTGATGCTGTGGGTGTCAAGATCCTTTGTTGCAGGGGGTATCCTGTGCCCTGTGGGGGGTTAAACAACATCCCTCACCTTTACCCCACGGATGCCAGTATCACCTCCTCTACCTGGTGATGATCATCAAAAATATCTCCAGTGCTGAGGCCCTAATCCAGTTTTAAATGTATTTAAGTTCTTCTAGCTTTAAATGTATTCCTTCTACAAACTACACTTCTTCCAGTCACCATTCATACCTTGTCTCAAAGGCATGGTCCTAGTTAGTGAGATCTTGAAACATGTCTGGAATAACTCTTTATTAAGTCTGTTCATCAAAAGCATTTAGAGAATGCATTTAGGAAACAAATATAGCAAACATCCCCATGCCCCCTTTAAAGACTAACTAAAGTGAAGCCTATGTTCATTTGCTTCTGAAAGAAACTTAAGACTTCTAAGAGGGGCTGGACTGAACTCAACACAGTGGGGCTGGCCGTTAGGTCTGGCCGGGCCTGCTAACACCTGTGGGAGGGTGGAGGAAAAGGGAGGGTATTTCCTGGGGCCTGGGTTCTGGAGAGAAAAAGCACACCCAGTTTTGAGCCGTGTTCTGAAGAGGTCAGAGCCTCACTGTCCTCGCTGAGGTCCTGTGACAATAGAGGCTACTGGGTGCTGATAAGCAAGTCAGATCATAAGGGGGTGGCTGGGGGTCGGGGGGTACGGCTGCTAGCTGTCCTCAGCAGGGGTGGGGTTCCTTGAGTGCTTCTTGGGACTCCCTGTATAGAAGGGAGCAAACCCCAAGGTAACTCAGGCTCCACTCTTCTCACATCAACCCCCCTGCCCACATTCCTACCCTCACCAGGCACTTTTATCGAAGAGGAAAGACATCGTATAGATGGTTAGCATGACATCATTTCCTTCCTAGTCTATTGGAAATCCCCATTGCCTGCTTGAGAAAGCAGGCTGGCTAGATAAGCAGGTTTTTAATTAAGTAACCTATATATTAGAGATGTGTCAGCATTTGGTTAATAAGAGCCATTAGCCTGGATACCAGAAGTCATCTGATTTCCCAGCAACAAGGAATGGAGGGGGTGTGGGGTGTGTGTGTGCATTTAGAACACCCTGGGAGGGAGGAAGCCTGCAGTCTGGCACTGCCAGGGAGTGGAGTTGGGAGGGTATGTGCGCTTATGCACACACATACATTCACCAAATATTCATAGATGGAGAGCTGGCCTCTTTTTTGTCCATGGGGAGAAACCTACCACCATTAATGCAGGTTGCTGGGGTGTCTGGAACCCAAGAGTACTGGGACTTGGGTGCATTCTCTGGGCAGGGAGCCCTCTTAGCATAGAGTCAAAGCTGGATGACTTTATGAAAAGAAGGGCCAGCCTGCCTGCAGCCTTCCCAGGAGTCTCCCTCCTTGCTCCTCAGCCCACCTGCCTCCAGCTTTGACTGAGGTCACCCAGCTCCTCCCCTTCATGTCATTCCTGCCAGTTGCTTTCTTTCAAGGCTCCCTGAACATCAGTTCAGTGTGTTAGTTTACTTCACTCTCCACTGATGATCCTTCTAACAGCTTCCCCCTGCCCTTGGCTTACCAAGTCTCTGCCAGGCGTGGCCCCACTTGCTCCCAGCCTCTCACCCTGCTGCAGGCCACACTGGCATCTTCCTACCTCTCTCCATGCAGTCTGAGCCCTGGCTGGGTTTAGGACCCCTGTCCACATACTCCTAGTCTACATCCTGTTTGCTGGTGACAAATATACTTCCCCGCCTAAGATCAGGAACAAAACAGAGATGTCAGCTCATCAATTTGCACTGGAGGCGCTATAGCCAGGGCAATTAGTCAAGAAAAAAGAAAGGCATACAGATTGGAAAAGAAGTGAAGCATACCTCAATTGGCAGATGAGATGAGCTTGCACATAGAAGGGACCAAGGAATACGCTAAAAAATACTATTAGAATAAAAAGATTCAGAAAGACTATAGAACACAGATCAATATACAAAAATCAGCTATATTCTATGAACTAGCAATGAACAATCTAGAAAAGGAACTGAGAAGACAATTTCAGTTACAATACACAAAGAGAATATTACTTAGGAATAAATTTAACAAAAGAAGGATGATTCTATTCACATGAAACGTCCAGAAAAGACTAATCTATACTGACAGAAAGTAGATTAGTGGTTGCTGAGGGCCAGGGGAGGGAGGAATTACTGCTAAGGAGAAGGAGGTTCCTTTTGGGATAATGCAAATCTTCCTAAATTAGATTATGATGATGGTTGCATACCTCTGACTGTACTAAAAGCTGGTGAACTGTATTTTGAATGGGTTGATGTCATGGTATGTAAATTATATCTCAAGAAAGCTGATTCAAAAATCAAAACAGTAAGGGGCTTACCTTGTGGTCCAGTGGTTAAGAATCTGCCTTGCAATGCAGGCGACACGGGTTTGATTCCTGGTCGGAGAAGATCCCACATGCCGCTGGGCAGCTGAGCCAGAGTGCCACAAATACTGAGCCTGTGCTCCGGAGTCTGTGCTCCATAACTACTGAAGCCCTCACACCCCAGAGCCAGTGCTCCACAAGTGAAGCCACTGCAACGAGAAGCCTGCACGTGGCAACTGGAGAGCAGCCCCTGCTTGCCGCAACTAGAGAAAGCCCGCATAGCAACAAAGACCCAGCACAGCCGTACACAAATATTTCTTTAAAAGACACTTGCATAAAAAATATTTTTAAAATAAGTAAATTGCATGGGCCCCCCTGGGCTCTGCAGTGCACTCTTGATACCCAGAGTCAGCTCAGCCAGCTTGTGTACAAGCAGCTGCTGGGTGTCCCACCCAGGAACTGGGACACAGTGGAGGAGGGGATGGAGGACCACTTAAACACCTGTGTGAACACAGACACTGTGTGGTCTTTGATTCCAAGCCATCAGAGCCTACTTTCTCAGAATAAGTCAAAGTAAAACCTCAGGGATTACTGGGGCATTGGGTTCCCGTGTACAGTGGACATTGGCTTGATTGTCCCAGGCCCTGGACAACGGTTAACATGCAGTGTAAAGTCATCTGGTCGTGTATCCCTTGGCTGAATGGGGCTCACAGTGCTCCACAGTTGGGAGGGGGAGATTCCAGGCAGCTCTGAAATGGGGCACTGTTTGCTGGGGAGCAGCAGTATCGACGAGGTGGGCTGTGTTTGATGGGGAATGGACGTGGGGGTGGAGAACAGCTCAGCATTCTTCATTAGGAAAGGGGCTGTTTAGGCAATCCCAAGGTCACCACTGGCTCTTTCCTGTTTATATGTCCCCTGTAACCAGGAAAGGGGACAAGTGTCCAGCAGGGCAGCACCTTTGCCAAGTAAGCCCTCCTCCTCTCCGGTCACTTTTGCCTCATTCTCATATCTAACCATGTCCCCCTTCTTGTGTCAACAGAGGGGGTGTGGTCTGGGAACCCCTGCCTGGAGCTCTGGGCAAGACACCATGCTGGGCATTTTCAAATGTTGCTTCATTTAGCCTAAAACACTCCCACGAGATCACTGACGTGGGTTCCTGGAATTTCCTGCTGGCTTCATCAGCGAATGGCATGATGCATGTACAGCAGGCTCCCAGAACTCCAGCCACACTGATTTTTCTGGTCCCATGCTTCCCAGCCCACACAGAGCACTGCTAATTCCTGCTCAGCCTTTGGATCTTGTTTCAGACCCTGGCAGCATCCTCTGAAAGCCTGTGCCTGCCCCGAGCAGGGGGTGGATGCATGGAGGACAGGGGCCTGGGCTACCTGTCTCCCTAGCAGGACAGCAGAGTCCAGGGGTGGACTCTGACAACAGACAGGGGTGGCTGTTCTCGCCACGGTAATCCCTGGACCTGGTGTCAGGCCCAGGAAGACTGTGTGGCCTCAGTCTGCACGTCCCGCAGTAGCATAAGGGACTGTGGCTTGAATCAGGGTCAGTGTACTGGGTTGGAGGCCCAGTTCTGACACTGGCTGGTATATGACTTGGATCCATCACTTCACATCTTTAGGGATCTGTCTTCATAAAAAGAGGGAATTCTGGCAATGGCCCAGGTCCTTTTCCTAATTCTAAGACGGCTTTCCACAGTGCTTTTAAGATCTCTACTGTCAGACCTACCACGGAACACAGGACACCTGCCCCGATGGGGTGATCACTGGCTC